ATGGCCTTGGGTGCATGGGACATGAAGAAGTATCCATATCACCATGTGCGTTGGCCCAAGGCCTGTGAGTAAGCAAAAAGGTTTGCATTTGATTTTAACACAAATGTATGTGTGTGCGTTTCCTTCTTATTTTCGTTAATGAAATATCCATAGGAAGATTGATTATCACTTCCCTCTAGTTGAGACCAACAGAGGTGTATAGTGACAAATTCACGGTGAAAGCAAATTAACAGAAATATTTTGGGTGGGAAAGAACTTTGGAAGAAGTGCAACAGATTTCCCCCATCCTGGCCTTTAGGACAGGCCATTTCCATTGCATCAGAAGAAAATTTTTTCACTCTGCCATGGAAAAGTCAGAAAATCAGAACATCCCACAAGCAAGCACAGCAAAAAATACACACATCAGGCATGGAGGTTGTTGGGAACTTTGTTTATCCAGAGGGGGTGTGTTGGATTTGCTACTTGAGAGAGCTTTTTTTTAAAAAAAAAGAAGGATAAAAACATCAAGTTTTACTGAAATGAGAGGAGTCAAGATTCCCTTAGAGCTTCCTCTGCTTTCTAATGGTTTTGTCTAGAAATATGTTATGGGAAGCTGTTCTAATCATCAGTCTGAGAGCAGGATGTGAAGATGCCACTGATGAGAACACCCACCAATACTCAAATGCTAGCAGGCTTGCAATCATTTAAAGAACTCATTAATCTAAAGAGAATACTTAGAAAGAAACTTTCATAATTAGAATTGGGGAGCAGCCAGCTCTGCTGAAATGAGAGAGCGTTTCTTCTTTCTGTCGTTGACCCAAGACACCTTGACGGACGACAACGCCTTTGATGGAACGAGGCATTTTGCGGTGACTTTGGGTGCAGTTAAGCTGATAATGGCATTCTTCAAAACGGCTGCATCTCAGCCGGTTTTCTCCGTAAGGTTTCGACAGGTAAACCAGTGCACGGTCACTGATTTGCCTCTGGTGAGCTCCTGTTCAAAGCAAGCGGAGGAAACGACAGATACTGCACTATGGCCGTGCCTCTTAACGAACGGCACTGCCGTACTCAGAACTATTTATCTTTATCATCTCAGCAAAACTTTCATTAACATTTCCGGATGGCCGAAAGGGAAAGGCACCAACACAACAGCTCAGAGGACTGGAGGCAAAGGGAGCCGAGTCTGCAGCTTTACACCTTGCTCAAGCAAGGGGCGTCTTTACGGGACGTTGCTTGAGCTGCACGTGTTCGTTCAACTGCTGAAGGAGGCAGCGTGTGAGGGAGCCTCCTCCCTCCGCAGATGTATGCGGGTCCTGCTTTGCAAGGGATCCGTGTTCACCTGAACTGATGAGCAAGCACCCGACTCGGTGCTTTGAAAGTGATTTGAAATTACTTTTAAGTTATGCAGATCAAGAAATAAAAGAAAAAAAAAAAGGGGGAAGAAAAAGGAAAAAAGGGAAAAAAGGGGGAAAAAAGGGAAAAAAAAGAAAAAAGGAAAAAAAGGGGAAAAAGGGGAAAAAAAGGGAAAAAAAAGAAAAAAGGAAAAAAAAACGGAAAAAAGGAAAAAAGGGACAAAGGAAAAAGAGAAAAAAGGAAAAAAAAAAGCAAGAAAAAAACCCAAAGACTGTTATGACTAAACAGGTTCCTTGTCACAATGGCAGCTTTAGTTTGTTTTTTATTTTAAGAACAAACACCTCCTTCCGTGCCAATGTTCGCTGGAAGGGGAGGAAATCAAGTAACAGTGGAAAACCAGAGAAGATATTAAATGCTTAACCGTATTAGGAGGCTTCCAGATAAATCCTGGGAGCTAACAAATGGAAACCTGCCGTGGCACCTGCTGTCCCACCACTCCTTCAACAGCACATGGCAATTGCAGAAGCTGGTTACCTACAACCTGCAGAAGCGGAGAACACGTTACTCGTTGTTTACACCTGGGAGAAGCAGAGAACACCCATTCCACAGCCCTTCCGCACGGACACATTTTGCACCAACTCTTTTGCACAGCCCTCTACAACTGCCTGAGAGGAGGCTGCAGCAAGGTGGGGGTCGGCCTCTTCTCCCTGGTAACGGGTGATAGGACGAGGGGGAATGGTCTGAAGTTGTGTCAGGGCAGGGTTAGATTGGACATTGGGAAAAATTTCTTCCCCGAAAGGGCTGTCAGTCTCTGGAAGGGGCTGCCCAGGGAAGGGGTAGAGTCCCCATCCCTGGAGGGATTTAAAAGCTGGGCAGCCCAGGTGCTTAGGGCCAGGGTTTAGTGGTGGGATGGCAGGGGGAGGTTCACAGTTGGGGTTGATGATCTTAAAGGGCTTTTCCAACCTAAATGATTCTATGATATTCCCCCAAGCTGTCATACCTGGTCACCTTGCCATCTCAATATATTTATCCCCACTTTTTAATGGACTCGAAGAAGCACAGAGCTGACCTGCATACACATCGGCGTCATGTTGGCACCACTGTGCCCCAATCTGCTCTTTAAACACAGCCTCATCTGTTGCCTCTCTTGCTTATGGATCCACATAGCTTCTGGCTTTCAAAAAGGATAAGTTAATTTTGTTATTCGTTTCTTTACTTTTATTTGTTCCTTTTTGAAGGACGCTCTCTGGTTTTAGGTATAATTATTTTTGTTATTGTTTTTATTGTTATTATTGTTGTTATTATTATTATTTATTATTATTATTACCATCATCATCGTCGTCATCATTATCATCATCATCATCATCATTATTATCATTATTAAATGCATTGAATGCATTCACGATGGGTTCGGTGTCAGGCATGGTGGGTAGTCACGGACTTGGTAAGTCAGATACAAAGATAGGAAAACTCCCAGAAATCCTATCAAGAGCTGCAGAAGGTAAGGTAGCACCCGTGGAATGAAGCCCATGCGACAAAGGCACGCTCAGATAAACACACAGTGAAATTCAGTGAATTGTAAAGGGAATTCAAATTTCATCTCAGCCCCCATGATGCTTTGAGACAATTTTACGTTTCTTTCTGGGTGAGATTAGGGGATTGCTGGCTAATCCTGGGACTGGTAGTCCACCTGACAGACGATGTGAACTCCATTTACCAAATGCTTCTCCTGCAAGGCTAAGATGCTATTTCAAGTAAATACTCTTTTCTCCTCAACTGCTGTGTGAAAATCTCGATACGCGACAACAACAAAAAAGAGATGGAATAGGGAGAAGCAATGAGCTACAGGCAGAATGCTAAGAAATATATACACAAAGTAAAATGAAAACTCTGATATGAATTTCTCTCGTATTTCACTCCTAAACTCAGCATCACTTTCAGCAAAGATAAACCAACCAAGAGCGGAATAAAGATTTTTTTTTTTTCCTACAAGACAGTTCTTCCCCTTTAACAGAAATAATAAGGGGAAAATCCTAGCAGGCAGCAATGCGTTGGAGCTAGAAGGGAGCTGTGCTTCGTTTATTTAATGGGTTGTTCCTTACTGCGGTCCCTTCTCGGAATTAACAGGGCCACCCAGCAGAGAGGAAAAAGGAAAAAAAGTCGCCTCAAATGCTTTAATGGTATTTTGTTCAACAGCTTGTGGCTCCTAGGCATCTCATAGGCACCGTCTTCTATAAATAAAAATGTGCGGCCGTATTATTATTATGCTATGACTCATGAAATTTGTATCTGCAGGGAGCTCGGGGCTTTGGCTTTTCCTCTGGGCTCGCCGATGCTGTCTGCTGGGTCAATTAAAATAGCGTGGTTTCTTTTCACACAAAGCCTTTCTTCTTCCCTTGCTCGTTCCGAGCGTGCGTTCCACTCACGGCTCCCCCTCGCCACCTCATCACCATTGTAAATCACAGCACATCAACGTCGGTGCTATGTTCTGCTTCTGCCTCTTGGACAACAAAACCCCTAAGCCAAACGTCAAAAAATTCAAACAGAAATCCAATATTACAAATAAATCTATGGACATCTCCTGATAAACTCCTGCAGATCTAGGCGGATGCGATGCTCTCTCCCTGACCCCCAGAACAGAAATAGCTTCCAATTCCTCGCCCTGCTGAAGGGTATGATATGTTGGGCAATAAGAAGTGAACAGGGGTTATGGCTCTCATAAAATATTCACACCGCTGGGTCTCTGTACAGCAGTTTCTCCTGAGTATGATTAATCACATGCTATTATTTAAAGTTCCGATAGCGTGGGAGTTTATGTTTCACGACCATTCGCAGATTAGATTATAGAAAATTAGTTTCAGATGAACTGTTTGGTTCAGGTAGATTAATCCACGCTGATGATGCCTATCAGCCAATCGAACGACTTCTTCAAACCAAGTGGCCATGTCCCTGGGGTTATCCAGAAGGCGATAAACAACCGGGGAGAGGTTCTCTCCACCTGGCAGTAATTGTTCTGCAAGTGCTCTTCTCTTACTTTCATCTCAGACAGACATTTATCCTGCTATTTAGTATAATTAAAGCATAGGTACCAATCTAAAGCTCCTACCCAGGGAGCAGTCATCTGATGGCAGCAGACTCACAGCATGCACAACAGCCTTAATTTCAATAACACGTTCAGCTGATGAGGAGGAAGAAAGGGATGAAGGAGGTAACGCCACCGCCAGGAGCTCGGGATGCGCTCACTGCCGAGGCGTGCGTGCAGGGGACCAGCACAGGCGATGCCCAGAAGCCAGGCTGTCCTTTGGCGATCATTTCTCTCCAGTTTGGATGGGAGAGCTGCTGCATCTTCACAGTGCAAAGGGGCACCACGCCACCCTTGCTCCATTGAGCCCAGCTCTAGAGCCGCTGGCTATTTGAAACCAACACTAATTAGAATAGAATCATAGAACGTTTAGGGTTGGAAGGGACCACTAGTGGTCATCTAGTCCAACCCCCCTGCAGTGAGCAGGGACACTGCTAACTAGATCAGGTTGCTCATACACTGTTAAAAATGACCAGAAATGCATTTGGAACCGCAGGACACCTCTCCGTGAACATTGCTATCCTGTCAGATTAGGATTCAATTCGTCTTCCAAGATAAAGGCCAACAGTTTGCCAGCTCAACTTACCTCTGACGATGATGTTGGTGGACTTTTTTGCCGGATTTCCGACATTGTTATTGGCGATGCAACTGTACGTGCCAGCATCTTCTGACGTGATGGCCGGTATCGTTAAAGTGCCACCGTTCAGGACGGTCTTCTCGGGCAGGGTGCCGGCAGACCTCACCCACGTCAGGCTGGGGGCTGGCTCCCCTCCTGTCGTCACACACACTAAGGTGATTGCTTCTCCAGGGTTCACCACGATCGGGTCATCCACAAGAAGCTTAATTGAAGGGGATGCTGCAAAACACAAGAGGAAGAGAAAGGTGTAGGTGGTATTGCTCAGTCCTGACAAGCACGCTGAAGCCCATTGAGATGAGCGAAGGCACTTTGGCTACAGCGCTCTTCGCATGACCGGGTGCCCTCTGGGACGGGTGCTCCCCATCCCGATGCTCCCCCAACACCATGCATCTCGCCCTGCTCAGTCATCACCTTTCGCCTTGCTGTCAAACTGCAGATGAGGATTTACGTATGGACAACCTTGCGCTCGTGCTTGGCAATTGATGTATAACGCGTGGGACAGGTGCCAGCACACTGGATTTTAAAGCCTGGAAGAAAGGAATTAGTAATGATCTTCTTCTTTGGCATGGAAAGCATGTTGTTCTCTTCAAGTCAGATCCTACCCCATTGAAAACCAGGCTTCTTAATCCCCCCGCCTCCCTGGGACCTGGCTGCCACCTGGGGTGAACCTGTAGAGCTTGGGTTGGGTCCATTGAATCAGGAAGGGTCACCTCCCTCGGGACAACATCTCCTTGCACACGGAGAAACCAAAGATGGAAAAAAAGCAGAGATGCTTTTTTTTCCCTGTGTGGGCTGTGCAGCCTGCAGCTCACAGCTCCAGCAGACAGCACGGCCACGGCGCCGTCTCCTCACAGACACACGGGAGCGGTGCCGACTTGGGTCCCTACTCATTTCCGCACAATATCCTATGACCAGCCACAGGGACCTTGTTTGGGCAGGACCAGCAAACCAGCCCAACTACTAGCACAGGCTAACGGAAAGATGATGCTGCGCTCGGAAAGGAGGAGTAAGCAATTAAATTCTGTTCTCTCGTCTTTTCCATGAAATATTTGCATGGAAGAGGAGCAACAGAAACGCTCAGTATGAAGGGACAGGGCAGGGCGATTCATTTTAGATGCTCGTGCGTGGAGGGAGCCACCCTTGCTGGATTCAGGCTTTGTGAAGGCATACACCAAACCGCGTAAACGATGAGCCAATATAGAAATGCATATTGCTAATACGGAAAAAGCAGGGATAGAATCATAGAATCATAGAATCACTTTGAAAAGACCTTTGAGATCATCGAGTCCAACCTTTAACCTAACCCTGCCATCCCACCACTAAACCCTGTCCCTAAGCACCTCATCTATGCTTCTTTTAAATCCCCCCAGAGATGGGGACTCGACCACCTCCCTGGGCAGCCCATTCCAGAGCCTGACAGCCCTTTCGGGGAAGAAGTTTTTCCTAATGTCTAGCCTAAACCTGCCCTATTACTGAATAAACACAGGCATAAAGGTGAAGGATTGAAATTCTGGGCAAAGAATACCAGAAAATGAGACAATAATAAAAATGAAAGGAAATAAAAACGTTACATCCAGAAATCATATCACCATCCTCATTATTGCAGAGATACATTTTTGTGTGTCCTGCTGTATATATGAATCTTATTTCAGTGTTAAAGGAATACACACTAATCACCGAAGGCAAATACAAGAGCCAACGATAAAATAAGAGTTTCCTTTTTTTGGAGTCCGCCCAAGAGGAATTGGCTTTCTCTGCGTTCAGGGGCTGGTGCTCACAAATGGGAAGCGCCTCATTTATACCCATCCTAGGACAGAGAGAACAGGCAACCCCCAGCAGGGGAAACACTTTAGGAGAGCGGGAGAGCCGAGGTTTACAAGCAACGTCCCCTCTTCCAGCTCCTCCCAGCTTGGGACACCGTCGACGCTTCCCAGCATAAATTCCTCGGTTCACATAACCAACTTAAAGGTGAAGAAACTGGGTGCGTGGCTAAAAATAGAGACAGAAAACAAGTCAGCACTGCCCACTGACACAGTGACTCTTTGCTCGCGTCCTCTGACCTCATGTCTTTCATCAGTTGATGCATCCATCAGCGGATGGACCCCTGTTTGGGGATTAGAGGTACAAACTGGGCGGTATGTCATGCTTCGTGCTTAAGGAGATTTTTCTTGGGTGAAGGTGGCAGAAGCAGGGATCCAGGTACCTGCTGTGCAGCTAGAACTGAGCTCCAGACCTGCAGAGTCTTGGCCAACCAAGGGGGTGGCACTCCGCTGGCCCCTCTTTCCCCCTCCTTCCCCCCCTCCAGAGTTTAATGATTTTTCCTGAACAACTCTGGCAAGGAGCTGCTCTCTGCTCTCACTGAACATCAAGTCATGAGACAGGGAACAAGAGAACCACAAACAATGCTTCAAAACTTAGAACAAAAGATGAAAGCTCCAACAATGTCAACCCAACCTGGTGGTGCTGTTTACCATAATGGCCTCATAATCCTCCAGATGAAAGGGGGCCCTTTGCCATCCTTCAGGTAGAGAGACGAGGATAGCAGCCGATGTGATAAAAATGCTGCGTTACATCCCTTTCATCACAGCACTCAAAACATTAAGTACATGAAAATTATGGTTTGCATACAGCAATTTCTCTTTGCTTACACCACACATTTCACTTCACTACAACCTATCCCGCTAGACAGACACAAACAAAAATTCAGCAACACACTCAACTACTACAGTGAAAAACCTGATTTAAACCAAAGCATATTAAGAAATTTGTAAGGGAAGTTAAGGTTTCCAGCAAATGAATCTCGTGTGTCACATATGGGGTGCATTAAGAGGAGTGTGGCCAGCAGGGCGAGGGAGGTTCTCCTCCCCCTCTACTCTGCCCCGGTGAGACCCCACCTGGAGCACTGGGTCCAGTTCTGGGCTCCCCAGGTCAAGAAGGATGAGGAACTCCTGAAGAGAGTCCAGAGGAGAGCAACAAAGCTGATGGGGGGACTGGAGCATGAGGAAAGGCTGAGAGAGTTGGGCTTGTTCAGCCTGGAGAAGAGAAGGCTGAGAGGGGATCTCATCACCACCTACAAATATCTCAAGGGTGGATGTCACGAGGATGGAGCCAGACTCTTCCCAGTGGTGCCCAGCACCAGGACAAGGGGCCATGGGCACAAACTGAAGCAGAAGAGGTTCCAGTTGAACGGGAGGAAGAACTTGTTGACTGTGAGGGTGCCCGAGCCCTGGCCCAGGCTGCCCAGGGGGGCTGTGGAGTCTCCTTCTCTGCAGATATTCAACCCCCGCCTGGACGCTGTCCTGTGTTACATGCTCTAGGAGAACCTGCTTGAGCAGGGGGATGGGACTGGGTGAGCTCCCGAGGGCCCTGCCAACCCCTGCCACTCTGGGATTCTGGGATTCTGCAATATGAAGGGTCAAACACCTCTTATGAATAGAATACAAATCCAGAGCAATTATTTTGGTATTTCTCTGTTTGAAACCCTACATGTAATCGGCACCATATCACAATGCACCAATAACGTCGAACCTCTTATTTTCAGCTTTACGGTGCAACTCAGGATAGAATTGAGTCTACCGCACTGCTTGCCTGATTTATTGTCACATGCACGTTGCCAAACTCTGGTCTAGGAATGGAGAGATTGGAAGATCCCTGGTGGCCAGTACTGTACTTTGTCCGTCCACCACTGAAGCACACTCAGCCCCACCACTGGCCCCAGGCTCACCCATGTCTGAGAGTGCAACCTCCACTCTCAATGCAAACATTGACCTCTCCTTCTTCCAGCCAGGGGTGGAGAAAGGTGGTAGCTGACACCCATCAGCTCACATGCCGAACACGAGCTGGAGACCCATGGTTTCTCACCTCAGCTCTGGCTGTTTTAGCAAGGAGAGAGAGGAAAAGAGAGAAGTGGGGAGAGTCAGCCAGGGAATGAAGGAGGGGAACAGCAAAAATCCCAAATGCTCGATAATTCCAGCATCCTCAGACACGGTGGGGTGGCTTTAGTTCTACGCTAGAGAGCTCTTGTGCTCACTTCTCTACGTCAGCCTGGACCTAGATTTGGAAATGAATGGGGCTAAATCACAAGTTTAGTCAGCTGCTGGAAGCCCTGTATTAATTGACTTGGGTTAATTAACAGCATGTAGGGCTTCTGCAGGTCTGCTTTAGCGGAGAGCTCCTCTGTTTGACTCTACCCAGGGATGCTTTCCCCTCCCAAGCCGGAGGAACACCTCTACCTGCTCCCTGAAGGATGCCGCAGCAATGCAGCTGCAACCAGCTGGGAAGGCCAAGCTGGAGCACAGAAAGGAGTAACGAAGGCACGACGAGGAAACTCCACATAACGGCAGCGACAGTAAACCCCGACCTGTGCTGCTCAGGGTTGCTGTGGAATCTCTCTCTCTTCCAGATTATCGGAGCAAACGCTTGTTAGACAAAAAGTTTAGGGCTGGCTCCTGTTCAAGCTAGGGCAACGGAGCTCGCTATCGTGTGAGCTCTCTCCCTGCTCCAGTTGCAATGGCAGCAGGAGGTACTGCCAAAAGGCGATTCCTTATCTACCCTGAGCTATCTTCTTGCAAGACTCTTCCCCCGTGGTATCCATCTCTCCGCTGACTGCAGAGAGAGCCCGAAAATTAGTTTAATCCAGACAGGTCAGATTTAGATGGCAGAAGACGGGTGACACCCATCCTGCCTTTAGGATGAGGATTTACAAATGCATCAGGAGCCTGTAGATGGGAATGGGCAGAAAGTGCCGAGTTTAACAACATAACATGTGCCAACCTCGCACTGATCACAGCGTTTCGCAAATCCTCTTAGTTCCTTGCACTTTCAGAAAAACTGAAATTTTGGCCTAATCTTCTGTCTCAAAACCATTTCTTCTCTCTTTTATTTATTTGTAAACTTTTGGGGCTAAACACCACATGCAGCATAAATCTGAACTGTGTAATTCATTGCCACGCATTTTATTTTTTTTTTTTTTTTTGGTCCAGCGTGATTAAAAAATGGCGTGAGCATTTATAAAGATGACAAGATGACCCACAGCAATTATAAGAGTTGATGAGTATACCAAGATATTGTTGAAGGATTACTGAAACTCACGCTTTGGGGCATAAAATGATATTTTTTTCTGGAATGGGAGGGCAGGCTATCGCAGATCTGCCTCCTGCACACTTTTTATGCGCTCTTAACGGAATGCCTCCTGGTGGCTTTTGTTAAGGACAGGCATG